ACTGCTCTGCCACCTTTTATATGCTTCCATCTGCTTACATTTAGGTTCAAGTTGTGCCTGTTCCTCTTGTACAGGCCTGGCTTGTCCCAAAATGTTCCCCTCTGCCTAACAAATCTGAACCTCTTACTGTCTCTGACTCTCTGGCCCCTTCTGACTCGCTCACATGTTTCTATGTCTCATTCACACATAGAGACATCTTGCTTTGCATGTATAGCTGATCCTGTGTGGTAAAAGTAACATTTCAGAGAAAGCCATTTTGCTTTGCAAATTTCTACCTAGGAACCTAAATTTGGCCTTATGATTACATTTCTCCTTGACATTGGTACCAAGAAGGACCAAAACCATCAACTTTGCCCCAGCACTACCTATAATCTATCTAGTTGGCACACAGTATCTTTGCACTAGGCAGGCAAATTACCATATAGTCTACACGATCATCATAAACCTGTGTGTGTGTGTGTGTGTGTGTGTGTGTGTGTGATGATTGAACCTCCCAGTACCACAAGTCCCCTCTTCTGAAAGCACATCTTTGGTGCAAGAAGATGTATGTTTGTCTTCTGAGGAATAAATCTATTTCCATCTTCCTCAGAGTGAAACCCTCCTTGTCCAAGACGCCCATTTCCCATGCTAGCAGAGGAGCTGTCACCCAGAATTAGAACCCTACTATGTGGTCCCTGGTGGGTGGGCAGAGGGAAATGTCTCATCAACCAACCATTCTGCCTCTCTTAGCTTCTCCAGGTCAGTAACATCGGCTTTGAGGAACATACTTGCTCCTTGAGAGCCAAAAACTCCTTATACCAAACAAATACCAATAATTACTGTCCAGTGGGCAGAGAGTTGCATATATGGGGCACTCAGTGCAATGCACTGGATATCTCCCACACCCCTGTTGGCTTTCTACTTTCTTACCTTAGTTGTCACTGTTGTTTAATTAGTATTTTTTCAGTAAGGAGAAGGTACAAAATTTACTTTTAGGTATTAATGTACGGTTTGCAATTACTTAATATGAGAATGGAGGATGGCATTCTTCCTCCTGGCCACCTTTCCCTGTTGCCAAACTCAGTTGTTTAATTTGTCACTGGGGCTAAGATGCTCCCTTACAAGTCTGCCTTCTTATATGGCTCTAGGCAGGCTGGCCCAGCTGCTGCAACCAGTCTGATCAGAGGGTCTCATCCGAAAAGCAAGGGAGGCTGTGGCTGAACTCCTGGTATACACTAGTTTCCAGTGCATGTTAATTGCCCCCCCCCGCCCCAGTCTGCCCTTGTTTCCCCAGTACTTTCCCATAATGTAGGCTAGATAAGAGATGGCCCAAGTATCTTGAAAGTTGTGTTACTACAAAGTTGTAACAAAAAGGGTAATTGTCCACCACAGAAAGCCTGAAATGGGTGAATACTTTCTAAGTTGCGGGGGTGGGGTGCATGCAAGGCTAGGTCATATTCTCTCTGACAGCACATGTAAGGCCTCCAGCAAAAGATCCTAGACAACAGAAGGCAAGTCCCTCCTTTGCAAATATGCCGGACTAACAGAAACATGAAGAAGTGGGTGTTAGATCAAATCAAGCCAGAACTTTCCCTGGACATAAAATTAAAATGACAAAACTTAAGTTATTGTACTTTCAACACATGAGAAAACAAGACTTTCTGGAAAAGACAATATACTAGGGGAAGTAGAATGCAGAAAAGGAAGACTGACTATCACATGGCATGATTCCATAAAGGAAGCCACAGCCTTGAGTTCACAAGAGCGAAGCATGGATATCAAGGGCAGGGCATTTTGCAGGGCATTCATTCACAGGGTCAGCATAAGCCAGAGATGACTTTTGGTCTCCAGTTTGGACAGCAGATTGGACTAATCCATGGGGAAGGCTATCAACAGCTACTGTTGAGGATGCTTGTATGCTACATGAAGTATCAGACGCAATTCTATGTACCCTTTGCTGAGAAACATGGAAGAGTGTTGTTGCTTATGGATTTCAAATGCACAGCTGCCTGGCCACTGGGTGAACAGAATACTGGACTAGATAGACCTTGATCTGATCCAGCATGGCTTATGCTTTTAATGCTTTGGCAACTTTTGACATGTCTGCAGTTAATATTGTTGCTGACTCTCCATTCTTGATCTGACTTTTTGATGGCTTTAAGTTGGCCTCCTCAAATGCTTCTTCAGAAGTGGAAGGAAGTGCTGTAGTTATATGTGATATGTAATCTACTAAGAATATGCAAGCAGGAAATACCGACATTTGAAAAAGTAAATGCATGTTTAAATGTACTGACTCAAAGTGATTGGGTGCTGTTGCAGGTCACCCATTAACACCATCTCAAAATTCTCTACATTCTTGACTCCCTTGCTGAAATATTAAGGCTGCAAGCAAGTTGAAGGAAGAGGAAAACATTCACAACAAATAAATTTGTTAGAATTATTAGATTCTGATCTCAGGGTTCTGCAAAGTTAGAGGTGGGAGTGATCAAACTACAGCTGGAAAATTATAGTCAGCCTTGCTGACTTGTGCCCTGAAGCTTTTACTTGTTGTGCTTTTCATACTAACCATGCAGTTCTACATTCTACTCACTAGAGGCTGCTAGGTGTCCTGTTTTTAAGAGATTTAAATAAAATACTCATAATGAAATGTATATAAAAACTAATCAAAATTCCATCAAGCAACAGTATCTTTTAATCTCATTTAAGGATGCCTCAGGGCAAGATGCGTGGAATTGTTATTTTGGTCTACTGCTCTCATAATATCCTGGCTGGCTATGGCTGATGTAGATCAAGCCTTCAAAAAGGTCATAAACTGCCCACCCCTGCTACACATTCTGGACAGCCAATGTGGTGTAGTGGTTAAGAGCACAGGACTGGGACTCAGACAATCTGGGTTCTAGTCCCTGCTCAGCCATGGAGCTGACGGGGTGACTTTGGGCCAGTCAGAGATTCTTAACTCAAGCTACCTCACAGGGTTATTGTTGTGGAGATAAGATTGAGAGCAGGAGGAGGATAAGCTGCTTTGATTTCTTTGTAAGAAAATGGCTGGATAGAAATCTAATAGAATTTAAAAAATGATTAACTGGCACAAGACTCAAACTCTGTAGGGTTTACAAGTGAAGTAGGCATGTGCAGATTTGCTGTCATAGATTTAACATTCAGGCATAGACAATGCAGTCATGAAACCCAGTAGCTGATTCTTTTCCCTTACACTAATATTTTATGTAAACAGAAGCTCTGAAAAAATTGATATACCTATTAAATGTAACATGATTCATTGAAAACATACAGACACACTTCAAATTGAACGTGAAATACATAAAATATATTTGAAGATTTATCTTATAGCTCTCCTTTCCACAGCTCTATTCAATTTCAGAAATGGCATTCCATTTATATCCGACAAGCCTTCTTTATAAAATCGTGTTCTTGGCTGGTTTGCCCAGATCTGGATCTATTGTGGCTGATTTAGTTTCAGATAAGGGAATTATGACTGTGGTTCAAGTGCACTTTTGTTGCATTTAACTTCTGCAGAGTATTTGTTTGCTTACAAGGCTTTCCTCCTCTTTATCAAAGAAAATAATCTGGAACTGATGAAACACTGATGTCCAATCCAGACTCAGGGACCTTGATATTTCATTGTCTCATTTTTCTACAGAAAATGCCCCCTTCCCATAAAGGCGTCATTTATTGTAATGACCGATTTGGGAGTGTATCAGATAGAGTGGGGAGTTTTGATATGAAAAGAGCATAAAACGTTTCCTAGTCAACTCTTTCTCTGTAATATTCCTCTAGAAAATAGTTACTAATATGCTGCCCCCAGTCAAAGTAAATCTCCTGACACACCCTAGTCTTGTCTGGGGAGTTCTAAGTCCTTCTGCCAGCATCCTCTCCCTTATGATCCATTCTAGAAACAATAAAAAGAAAGCTGCTTTGGATATTATTGTCCAGAAATTAGCAAAACTTGGTGACAATCTTAAGAGAATTCAAGTGGGAGTTTTATTATCGTGCAGCCCTTCACAAGGGGGAGTTTGGTTAAAATTCATTTTAAGAACAACACAGCCAAATAGCAAAATATGAAAGGCTTTCATAATCTATCAGTTACATACACAGCGTCTGGGAAGGTGGAGGATCAGTTTGTTAGAGGAACATGAAAGTAAAACAATAGGGCTGACTGGATTAAGAGAACACAAAAGAAAAACTTTCAGGACATGTATGTATTGGCGTATCTAAGCTATATGTGGGGAGCAAGACTTGCAACATGCTCATATCAAAAATTTCATCTGACATCTAAAGCTATTCTTACAGTGGCAGGCTTTCAGCAGCCCTATTATGGCAGAGCTTTCATTTATTTTGTCCTGGCAGCTACATGGCTATATGAAGTCTAGAACGTAAATCTTCTAAAAACTCATTCTAGTCCTCTAACCACTACACCACACTGGCAATGTTGCAAGGGCTGATGGGGTTGTGAACCAACGCCTGCGGAACACTCGCCTCTGCTTAGCCTATGCTGACTGACTGACTGACCACTAAACCAGACCGGACACAATGAGATTCACTTCCCAAATAAACACACGTATGATTAAGGTATAAGAAAACCTAACATAGGCAACAGTTGCTCAAGGGACCAAAAAGGCCAAGCAACACCCCCCTCCCCGCCCCCCGTTTTCAAACGCCCAAAACAATCCCTGTCTCGAACCCAACAGCCCGGGGCAAAAAACAAAAACGCATTAAGCGTAACCCCCCACTTCCTTTTCCGCTTTGAACGCCCGCACGCATGCGGTTAACAGGAGGGCGCTCTATCCCTACGTCTTTATGGCGCAACGTTTCGCCCCTTCGCATTGGCCTCTGCGCAAGCTCAATGGGGAAGTGGAAGCACGACGGTCGGTTCGCTGAGCCGGCTCCTGCCCTGGTCAGCAAGAACCGCTCTGGCTCCTCCTCCATCTTCTTTCCCCGCCCCTCTCCCTTTCTTTGATAAGGCCGCTTCTTCGTGACGTCGGCTCGCCCTTAGCCAGTAGGCTAGGACCACGGCTGCTAGGTGCTTAGGTGGGTTTGGAGGTACCTTTGGCGTTGGGTTGCGCTTGCAGTCCGGAAGTTTTAGTGGGTCGTACTGTGCCGGTTTTCGGTGCTCGAAGAATGCTCCCGCGTTGATTTCGCAACTCTCCTGGCGATAAGGAAGTTTTGTGACAGTGACGAGGAAGGAATGATCGCGCCTTTCCAGCTTTGGAGCTTTTTCAGCGAAAACCCATTTCTTCCCAACGCGAAGCGTGACCTTTGAGTGGGGAACTGAGACTTCTGTCCTTGTTTCTGCTGCTCTGCAAGAGATGCTGCTTGAGCACTCAATCTTAACCTTGTTGGCCGAGATCAAAAGCACGGGAGAGGGAGACGAACTATTTCCCTAAGTTCTGGTAATCTGTCCCGGGCAGAGTCGGAAGATTTCCTTGATTTGGTCTGTCGTTTAGGAACGTGTCAAAGGAGCTATTGTAGGGGAAGGAATCCCCTCATTTTCTTTGGAACAACGGCTTTGGACTACATATGCGACATGTCTCCAGCAGTAACCTACAAGGACAGCAGTTTGCAGCGACGGCCTGGCAGAGTCCAAAACTCCCTGGATGTGATGAAGAATGAGCCTTTGCCTCTTGATGTCTATGAAGATGGATGCACTGAGACTGTTGGAGAGGGTGACCAAGAAATGCTCCTTGGAGACCAAAATGTTACACCTGTTGGGTCCCCCAAAGGCTATCGGGCTGAACTTGGCAATATCTTGCTTCTCCTCTTCCTCTATGTGCTTCAGGGTATCCCTCTGGGGCTTGCAGGTAGCATCCCACTCATCTTGCAAAGCAAGAATGTTAGCTACACAGATCAGGCCTTCTTTAGTTTTGTCTTTTGGCCTTTCAGCCTGAAGCTATTGTGGGCTCCCTTGGTGGATGCTGTGTACTTCAAGAACTTTGGTCGTCGAAAGTCTTGGCTTGTGCCCACTCAATACATCTTAGGCCTTTTTATGATGTACCTGTCTGTGCAGGTGGACTCTCTGCTTGGGGAAACAGATGGCAAAAGCCCAGATGTGGTGGCCCTTACTGTGACGTTCTTCTTGTTTGAGTTCCTGGCAGCCACTCAAGACGTAGCTGTAGATGGCTGGGCTTTGACAATGCTTTCCCGGGAGAATGTGGGCTATGCCTCTACTTGTAACTCTGTGGGCCAAACAGCAGGTTACTTCTTGGGAAATGTCCTGTTTTTGGCGCTTGAATCACCTGCATTTTGCAACAAGTATTTGCGCTTTCAGCCTCAACCCAGAGGAATAGTTACACTTTCAGGTATTCATTGAATTGCATATAAGGATACAAATATCACTGGGAGTGTCTTATCTCTCTCTTTTCAAGTGTATATGCCTGTTTCAAGTTAAAAATTGTTTACCTCAAGTGCGGGAGGAAGTGGTGATAGTTTAATTCTGTGTGGGTTGTTTTGTATAGATGCTTAAGAAAATAGTGCAATGACCTTTAGGATTGCTATGTCTTTCCAGCACATCATATTTAGTAGCTGCCTGATCTTTTATGTGTGTTCCTGATACAAAGCCCAGGTGCACAGTTTGTTACAGCATATGCTGTTTCATGCCATATGACAACTGTACCCTTGCATATAGTGTCCAGCCTACCTAGATTGAAAATGTCATAGTGAATTAAAAGAAGCAACAGTCTGCAACTCTGACACACTATATCACCATCATAAGGTTCTTTTGGTGAGGCTAAGCTATCCAGTAGAAGATGTAATAGAATAACAAATATCCTCCTATGTATGTCTTGGACTTCAATACTTCTACTTTCCACATACATGAAAAACTTCTCTATGAAGCATAAAGGAATCACTCTGAGATGCTGGAAGGATGAAGTCCATACCTGTACTGCTTCTGGATACTAATAGCTGGAAAGTTTCTCTCTTACTGAGGTTGGGGTGATAATGAAGCCAATTCTTTGTTCCATCCCTAAGTTGTGTTTCTTGGTTCTGTTAGGATAGGTGACAGATAGTTAGGAATTGGCTTTAAGGGTAAAATATATTTATATCCTGCCTTTTTTCCTTCAAAGGATTCATTATGGCTTACATAATTAGCTTCCTCCTCTCAATCTTATCCTTACAACAAACCTGTGAGGTCAGTTAGGTTGAGAATGACTTTGTGTGGCCCAAAGTCACCTGTGAGCTTTGTGGCCAAGTGGAGATTAGAATCCACTTGGAGAGAGAGCCACTGTCCTGAAATGGTTAAGAGCATGGGACTAGGACTCAGGCAATCTGGGTTCTAGTTCTGCATAGCCAGGGACCCAAGTGAGTGATTTTGGGCCAGTCACAGACTCTCAGACCAACCTGTCTCACAAGGTTGTTGTGGGGATAAGATTGAGAGCAGCAGGAGGAGAATGATATAAGCTGCTTTGAGTTCTTTGTAAGGAAAAAGCTGTGTTTGTGTGTGTGTAATTAATTAAACCCAGATCTCCTGGATCCCAGTCCAACACTCTAAGCAGTATACTGCATTGGTTGCCAATAAAGAATGTAGTCTTTCACCCAAGAAGAGATATAGTAGAGGTGACCAGTCAAAGACTTTTAGCATAACAACCTTAAAAGGATTACTTTGAGGACAAAATGGAGACAAGAAAAGTGTAAGCTGCCTTCAGTTCCTTGCAAAAGGAAGAAAGGTGGGATGTAAATGTAATAAAATAATTTATATTTCCTGCTCCTTTGTTAAAGAGTTCAGGATGATATTCATAAAGTAACCTAATTCTATCCTGTTAGTGAACCATTAAGATATGTTAGGATGAGACCAGCCAAGGCCACAGAGTGTGATCCATGACTAAGCAGGCTGCCGAACTCAGGTCACCACTATCCAAGTTCAGCATTCCATCCATCCCTCTTACATATTTCATTTGCATCTGTACTGCATGTTTTGCTGCATCTGTACAACACATGATTCTGTGCTGATTTTCCACTGACATATAAAGGCCTATCCTATCCTATCATATCCTATCAATTTTTTAGTCTTTTTGCTTTTGAAAGCAAATAAATGAAAGCCCTCCAAAATGTCAGTCCACCTCAGCTCTGGGATTTGCTGCTTAGTAGAAATAATTCTTGTTAATGCTGTTTCTTTCCCCATATGCTTACATCATATTAATTATTTTATCCCATACCTATTTTCTCTTTCTCAGAACTCAAGGTGGCTTAAATAATCCTCCCCCTCTCAGTCTTATTCTCACAACAACTCAGTGAGTTAGGTTAGACTGTCAGTGTCTGACCTAAAGTCACCCAGTGATTTTTGTGGCTAAGAGATGACTAGAAACTGGCTTTCCCATTCGCAGTCTTATGAATGCACTGAACCATTGAATAGTCCAGTAGAATCTGCCACCTTAACTGTTTTGAGTAGTTATAGAAAGCATTAAAATGTACATTTCATGCTACGTCTCTCTTGAGATCTGTTTGCTGATAGAGGAAATTTGTGTGCATGGTCTACATGAGGACTCAGAGAAGAATGTTTGAAATATGCCAGTGACTAGTGTTAATCTACATGATATGCTAAGCCAGTTTGGTTTTGAACCCAATGGGCAGTCCTCCCAGGGAGCCCTAGCAGTGCTCTGGAATAGCTACCTGTGCTTGACCCCCCCCTTCTTGTGATTATGTGCACAGAAAATTGTGTTCATAATTCATAATGTGAGAGCCTGTATGGTGTGATGCTAAGAGTGTCACGCTGGGGAACTGGGAGATCCATGCAACCGTGAAGCTCACTAGCTGACTTTGGGCCAGTCACAAAGCCTCACAAAGTGGTTGTTGGGATAAGAATGGAGCGATGCAAGCCACCTTGAGTTCCTCACAAGAGGAATGAAAATACAATGTAAGGATAAGAACAATATATTACATTCCAAAACACAACATCGTAACATGTTGCGAAGCTCACTTTATTTATTTAAAGATTTTATATACATTCTTAGTGAAAGCTCTCAGAACTGTGTACAGTCAAACATCTTGCAGGCATTTGTCAAGCAGGAGGGTCCAGTGCATATGTGGGCCTCAATTACCCACACTGAGCGAAGGCTGCCCGTGGCCATTGTGCATGGAAAAGTGGGACAGAGCGCCTTTTTCAAAGTATGCTCTAGCTTTGCCAGGAGGTGCCCAGTCTGCCTGTCCTGTCAACTTGACAGGTCCTTTAGAGTGGGAGGAGGGAGGGAATACTTACCTATATCCAGTGCTGGGCACTGTAGCAGGTGAGTGACCTCTGATTTTGGCCAGCAGTTGCCCTATCTGCCCATTACCTACCCCATGGTCCTCATTTTTCAACCCCGATTGCTCTATTTGCACGGCCAGGGAAGTGTGAATGAACAAAATTATTATGAATGCAATGATTTGTGCACATAAGTACAGGACAACGCATTATAAAAGAGGGTGTGCATGGATTTCCCCTCCAGGTTACCACTGACTATGTTCTGTAGTGCAGCTTGTTGTGTCCTATAAATCTTCCCAGTATGTTATAGATGGTAGTACATGATACAACACTGGATTTATCTACTTATCTTGAAAATTGTAAACAGCTATTTTATCAGAAACAGGAACTAGACAATAGATGTTTGAGTGACTTTGGAATGACTGCTTTTTTCTTGTTTTTGTGATTAATTAAAACAATTATAACAAGTTCTCAATTTGTTAAATAATGCAGGTTCCTAGGGTTAGGGATAAAAAGCTTTTCTTAAATGAGTTCTTAAAATGTTGATTGTTCATTTTTACTTAATTTACTTTTTAATGTTGTGGTCCTTGAACCCATTACTATGGAAATTAGTTTGGCAGCTTTCCTACTTGTAAAGATAAAGGTTACTGTGCATAGACAATTGGTTCTGATACAGCACCCCATGAATTTGAATGAGCTGGTGTAGCATAAATGGATTGTGGATTGCAACCCAAAATAAAGTTTGTTAAAGAGAAAGGGTTTTTTTTTTCAAACAAATCTCCATATTTTGATGCTATATTAATTCAGTGATTTCTTGCCACTCAAAGCTAGCCATAGTATGAGTGTAAATTAGTATGTTACCAGCATAAAGTTTCTTTGTATGAAACAGATTTTGAATAATGACTGGAAATACATATGTGTTTTTTCAGATTTCCTGTTTTTCTGGGGTGCTGTTTTCTTAATAACTACTACTTTGGTAGCACTCTTGAAAAAAGAAAATAAAATAAATGTCTCAAAAGAAGAAACAAAAGGCATCATGGATACATACAAGCTGCTTTTCTCAATAGTCAAAATGCCAGCAGTTCTTACATTCAGCGCCTTGATTTTAACAGCAAAGGTGAGTAAATGACTTGCAATTATTAGCAAAAATTTGCCATTTGTATAAGTTGTTATTTACCCAGAGTGACTAAGCCTGTCTTACAAGCCTGTATGAAAGCAAGTGAATTATTAGGAAGAATACTTTGGTTGCTGTCAGTTCACATCACAACCTTTGTTGTTATATTGACATAGTACTCTGGTGCAAGATGTCATGGTGATATAGTTTAGTTGTACCTGTTGTTATGTGGGGAGCTGCTGTCTTTGTTTAGCTATGAAATTTTATAATGATGCCTTGCAATTTATAGGTTGCACAATATGGCAAAATTTGTAGCTTTAGAATTATGGGATGCCACTGGAGCAATGTTGATACAAAACAATATATTTTTCAGATACTGCTTTTGTTGTAATCCTGCCCCATAAATAGCTTGATGTAACATCTGGAAGAGTATATAGGTGTATAAACTGTGTATGTAAACTCTGTAGGCATAATTAAGGATGGTGCTCAATCAAAGGTTCCTCAATGCCCTACACACATCAACTTGTATCTGAGTGGACTCTTCTAGATGTTATGCCCATCATGAAGGTTCGTGATAGTCAAGAGTTCACTGGGCCTAGATGTCCCAAAGGTCTGATCTAAGCCACGTCTGTACAAGAGTGGCAGGCTACACTTGAACCAAAATGGAACCAGACTGTTGGCACATCACATAAAAAGGTGGTGAATTGCTTTCCTCCAGGTTCATTTTAAAAGCTGATGGTAGCCACAAAGCATCTGTTTTGGATTAAATCATCCTGTACAATGGAGATGGAAAAGTTCCTGACTGCACTTATGTATGAAGGGAGAAAATAGGCCATAAGAATAGGCTAGAATATTATAACCAATTAAACAGGCCTAAACACCAAAAAAGAACTTTCACTTTCCAGAGACATCTGGACAGGGACAATGTTGTTTCTGTGCCAATGCTAGAAGCTTTTAGCAATGCTCAAGTTGCTCTAGAGATGGCAAGTGAAAGGGAGGCCCCAAAAAGAGGTATTGCTGTTATACTGGGTGAGTCAAACTGCCCCCACATTGACTGGGGCAATATATGTTGCAGTTCTGACAAACAGGTTAAAATTTTTAGTGTCCTAAATGACTGTGGCCTAGAACAGCTGGTCACAGAAGTGTCCAGAGGGGAGATAATCCTGAATTTAATCCTAGGTAGAATTGCCCAGGACCTGGTAAATGTTGTTGAACTGATTGGAAACAGTGCCCATGGAGCAATCAGATTTAATATACATTTAAGTGGAAAATAGCTGAAAGAATCTGACACAGTTACATTTGACCTCGAAAGAAGAAACTTCTCTAAATGAGAAAGTTGATGGAAAGGAAATTGAAAGGGAGAGTCAAGAGGGTTAAATCCCTTCAAAAGGCTTACAAATTGCTCACAGCCATGAGGTCTAAGAGGTCATCAGCATGGTTAACAAGCAGTGTCAAAGAAGCTACTAGAGAGAAGGGTTCCTTTGGAAAATGGAAGTCTTGCCCAAATTAGGAAAAAAGGGGGGCACAAGCTTGTATTAGAGAGATGCAAGCAGACAATAAGAGATGCAAAATAAATAAATAAATAAAAATAAAAATGGAGGGGGGACATTTCATTAACAATATCAAAGCCAGCAATACAGAATTCTATATACAGTGGTACCTCGGCTCACGAACGCCTTGGTTCACAACCAAATTGGGTCGCAAACAAAAGTTTCATGAAAATTTTGACTTGGGTCGTGAACGCCGCATTGGGTGGCGACCAAGACTGCAGCCATCTCCCCACCCTCCTGAGCGGGGAGATGGCCATGATCGCAGTTGTGTTTGTGCAGGGAAGACGTGCATGATCGCGGCTGTTCTGTGTTGCGCCTGTCTTTCCTGCAGGAGCGCGCCCATGATCACACATGATTCCCTGCACGAATGCAACTGCGATTGTGGCCATGTCCCCGCTTGGGGTGGGGTGGGGAGATGGCCGTGATTGTGCCCGTCTTTCCTCCAGTAGTGCTCCCATGCCAGGATTTCTTTGAGAAGCACCACCCCAACATAACTGTAACAAACAGAGTGTTGAATCTGATGAACGATAACATGGTCTCTCATTTCCAGAGGGTTATGCAGTGCAGGAAAAAACAAGTGACTATAGACAGATTTTTCACCCAAATTGACCCTGCAGCTAAGAGACAATGAAGAGAGGAAACCCCTGAAAGCGATCTCCCCAATGTCCTTATGGAGGGGGACTCTCCCTCAAAACAATAACCTCCCCCCCACCTAGATTAGTATTCTCCACTGTACCGTACTATACTTTGTCACTTTGTTTCAAATTTTTCTGATTTTAAAAAAATAGTTACAGAATGGATTAACCTTATTTCCATCGAACCTTATGGGGAAATTTGACTTGGCTTGCGACCAAAAATTGGCTCACAGCCACATTCAGAGGGGCCAGAATGGATTAACTTTATTTACATTGAATCTTGTGGGGAAATTTGACTTGGTCACAACCAATTTGGGTCACAGCCAGAGTTGTGGAACGGATTAAGTTCGTGAGCCAAGGTATCACTATATACGTATTAGAAGCAAGAAATCAACCAATTAGGAATGATCTGAAATTAGAAGTGGCAGTGAGGTGGCCACATTTGCTGATGGCAGCAACCTATTTAGGGTGGTGAAAACTAAAGGGATGGTGAGGAGCTCTAGGACAATCTCTCTCAGTTGGCAGAAGCACGGTTAGTGGCAAGCATGGCTCAATGTAAATGCAAAATCATGCATGTTGGGGCAAAACAAAATTTCTTAGAAAATTGTGTACAGTCCCGGTCACTGCACTTGAAAAAGGATATCGCAGGGTTGCAAAAAAGTTCAGAGAAGGGCAACTAAATGATCATGGGATTGAAGCAAGTCCCCTATGAGTAACAGTTGTAACTGTTGTTTAGCTTAGAAAAAAGGTAAGCAGAGACATGATAGAGTTGTTCAAAATTATGCATATCTGGTGTAAGTGGATAGGGAGACATTTTTCTCCCTCTCCCATAAACACTAGAGTTCAAGGTCATCACATGAAGCTGATGATTGGGAGATTTGGAATAGATAAAAGGACATACTTCATATAGAGCATAGGTAAACTATGGAATTTACTTCCACGAGCAATAGTGATAGTGAATTTGTATGGCTTTAAAAGTGGCTTCTAGTCTTGATGCCTGGGTGCTTCATCTTGGTATCACAGGCAGTAGGTCCATGTACACCAGCCCTTTGCTGGCTGTTGCCTCTCTATTTGTCACCTTTAAAAGCCCTTTCCTTGGAATTTCTCTGTGGTAAGGAGCCAAAGAGAAGGCCATCCCAACTCATAACCCACAGGGGAAGAGTCTTGTATGAGTGAAAGATGAGTTGGGGCCAGAAAGCAATGCCTTCTCTGCTTTCTTACCTGCAGCTGATCTGGAGCAGGTGTAGGAACAGGAAAGAAAACTTAATGCCCCAATAGTCTCCAAGGTTTTTATTAGGGAAACATACTTTTTAGAAGTAGGCAGAGAGTGGGGAGCTCTGTGGGCACCACAGGAAGTTACTGTGGGTATGGCATTGGGAATCCCTATTGCAATTTAATACTGTGTTCATTTTTCATGTGCTTAGCACACCACTTCATAAGTTTGCTCTCATCTTCATGATGCAGTATCAAATTCGCAATTATATTTTTTGTTGGCCAGTGGCTTGTGAATGCAAGAATAATAGTAAATCACAGTTAGTGCAAACTGCAAGTATCCTCAAAAGCTGTTTAGGTAAATTGCTTTGGTGATGACTCACAAACCATATTCAGATGAAAAACGACATGGTTTGGATTTACATGCTTTGTCATGGTGTCTGAAGGCAGGCAAGCAAGAAATTACTGGGTAAGCAATTAAAAAAATAACCTCAATTGGAAGTCTGGGACTCAGTTTTAGGACATGGTCTTTGGTTTGAATACCATAACCTGTAAGGGACTGGACAAATCATCGTATCAGTACAGCAGAAAAATAAGGCGCTCTTACCAGATTCCTTGTAAATGTGGGAGATTGCAAAATGCGTATTGCACTAATAATCCTATAGATATTCACAAGATCTTATGTTACAGATTGGATTCTCAGCAGCAGATGCAGTAACAGGACTGAAACTGGTAGAAGAAGGAGTACCTAAAGAACACTTAGCTCTGCTTGCTGTTCCAATGGTTCCTCTGCAGATTATATTGCCTCTTGTTATCAGCAAATACACAGCAGGTCCACAGCCCCTGAACACATTTTACAAAGCTATGCCATTTAGGTAACTATATCTTCATTGTTGTACATTTTAGTATACAGCATAATCTGTTAATGTGGAACTGTAATTTTGTAAGCATTAAAAGGAACAAATTGATTTCAGCCATGCCTATCATTAAGTCCCATTAATTTCAGTGCGCTTGCTCTAAGTATGTATGATTAAACTTGAATCCAATGCAATATGATATGCATGCCAGGATTTTACTGGTAAACCTAACCATGTTATAGGCTTGAAATCCATGTCCCCCTGCTGTTCATTATACAATTTATTGTGATGTGAGAGAGCGTTGCAAAATTATACCTTTCAAGAACTGTGGTTGATTAAAACCCCTTTTGTAATAGCACATACTTTTGTTCTCCCAGTTTACTTCAACAGCAAATGAGTTTCCCTGTAAGTAATGCTGTTAGGTATACCAGGAGTAATTTGGAGCATCTGAAACTTTCTGGCCAGTTCATGAAAGTTATTTTTTGGTCTACATCCAGTCATTTCCTTCCAGCCTTTTTGGAGTGGGCAACAGTGGTTTTAAAGCATCCATGTGTGAAATAAGCTGATCTCTGTCTTGCCTGATCTGTGTCATTTTTAACACTAGAATTCTTGTGATCCACCATTGCATGTTTAATTGACAAAGCAAGATGCATAAAGAAGTTCCTTTTATTTTTATTTTATTATTAAATTTTTATCCTGCCTTTTTCCACTGGTAAGAAACTCAAGGAAATCACATGGTCTTTTCCTTCTTTTATCCTTACAACAACCCTGCAAAGTAGGTTAGGCTGAAAGTCAAGTGACGGTCCCTAAGTCACACAGTGAGCTTCATGTCATGAATGGAGACTAGAACATGGATTTCTCAAGACCTAGTCCAGCAACCTAACCACCTCATGAGACTGACTGTGTTTCCTGTTAAAATGTCAGTGTTACATTTTCTTTAGAATATACATTTAAGAAATGTTTTAATCTGTTAAATGTAAGGTGCACCTAGATGCGTATTCTTCACAACCTGCATGTGCTAGGTAGCTTTCTAGAATTAGCCAATGAGTCACCAGTGGACTGTAATCTTCTCTTCTGCTTGTCCATCTCATAAGTTGGCCTTGCGAGGTCCTATAAATATAGTGCAGTTAATCAACTTCAGCTATTTCCCCTCCTCTTTTCACTACAGATTACTGTTTGGATTGGAATTTGCTCTCTTGGTTTGGTGGACTCCCAAAGTAAAATACGAAGGAGGATTTCCCATCTATTACTATATTATATTGTTGCTAAGTTATGCTCTGCATCAGGTATCACCTTGCTATACTTTAGTATATATGCTGACCTTTCTGGATAGATAAAATGTTTGTGTTTTAACCATCCTTATATATGTGAACACTTGTCTTCTGCTCAAAATTTGTGAGTACCTGAATTAGGCACAATTTCCTAAAATATATTTGTCTGTTTATTCCAAATCTTGATTGTAGCTATTAATACAGTCTTAACAGCATTTTTCATACTGTGTCAGCAAAGCAATCCAGCAAAAGGAATTGCATGAGGTAAATTCCTACTGAGGGTGGTTTAGCTTTGAAAAGCATTTTGGGTATCTTCTGTTAGAAAAGAGTCTGTGTTCAAAGTTTTTCATTTTATACATTTTTATAAAAAGAAACACAAAGTCAATGTGATGTGAGTCCATTGAGCTGTGAACAAATCATCTGAATTACTGGAAAACAACCTCAAACTGTCTCATATATTGTGTTACAGGCATTACCAAGCACTAGGCCATTGCTACCCAAAATATGACCATAATACTGGAAATCACTATTTGCTCTGGAACTCTCTGTGAAATTAATATTAATATGTTATTTTACATTGTTACATCCTTGTTTAAAGTCAATTAGGATAAATTAAGGCTGAATTTCTATACCCACTTGCCTAGGAGCAAGCTCCATTGAACTAATTGAGACTTATGTTTGAATAGACATGTAGAACATTTGCTGTAAGCTTTCTTAAAAGACTCTGTAAAGTCTGAACTTTTTATTCATCGCCTTGGTTTTGATGTCAAGATCAGCTGCATTGCTGAATGTCCTCATTCATACATGCTTGAGAGCTTGCATGTGTACAAATGAATCCAGATATATTGAGATCTTTTGTAGAAATGTGATGTGTGCAGAGTAGATTGGCTATTATACTTTGACAAAAAAGAGGATATTAACTCAAAAACTGGAAATTGAAGTATAGATGGTTTCAAATACCATACATATCTATACAAAGACCAAAAAAGTTTAATGCACTCTGCTGCATTGGACACGTACTGTTCATAGAGTTGCCACCAACAATTACAACCTGACTAGGTCCTTTGCAATTCCATCTTGATTTTGGTAAGGCAAAATGTAATAAGATGGCATCACTCACATATTTCTTTGGCCATGGTCCATATTAAGGACTGCTGGTGAGCAGAGAAGAGGAATCACACAATGTGATATCATTTCAGATGTTTCCCTTATAAAGTATCAGGTGGGGTGAAAAGAGGGGATCAAGTTACAAGGTTGCTGTTTTTATTAGCAATTTTGTGGCATGATTAAGCCCATGGCCTGTTGAGTTTTCCTCTAAAAAAAAGTCACCATCTTACTTTTCTCTTTAAGGTACAAGCAGGGAGTCTGTAATATTAGACTTCTGTTTAAGCTCCCAGTAGTTCTCAATAGCTGGAATTTTCTGAAAGAATGTTACCTTTAAACCTGAACTCCATTGTATTTAACAGAGTAAAATGTTAGAAAGCTAATTTAGTAATACTAGACATTTCACCATAACACAGTTAAAGTTTTTCTCTTGCGTTAAATCTCTTTGTGTCTTGTTTGTTATCTTTCTCCAGGTTACAGTATACAGTATATATGTTGCTATAATGGCTTTCAATGCCAAAGTTAGTGACCCACTCATTGGAGGAACATACATGACTTTGCTTAACACACTGTCAAATCTGGGAGGAAATTGGCCTGCCACAGTAGCACTTTGGCTTGTGGATCCACTTACAGTGAAAGAGTGCACTGGGCTTCAGGAACACAGTTGTAGGACTGCAGCTGCTGCAGAAGTAAGTTTGGTATTAGGGAATTCTCCATTCTTCAAAGAGTCTCAATAGAGCGATAAATTATCTTCTATATTTAAAAGCTTTAAGAAGCCAGGTTACTTTGCTTCCTATCTCCTCTGGCCCCCTTACTCTTCAGTATTATGTGCAAGACATTGGCTGAGCTTTTGTTAATGATATAGTTCAAAGCACTAGAATACCAGCTGTGTAATTCACATTGGACAGTTATTTGATATATTTGATATATTTTATATCAAAAGCAGTTTGTTCATCCATAATACTATGTTTTCAATTAATGTGCATATCTAATACCTCCAAACACCCTTCTTTCTTTCTTGCAGCTTTGTGCAAAAGGAGGTGGATCTTGTGCTACTACCATGGATGGTTATTATGTGGAGTCCATAATATGCATGGTTTTGGGGTTTGCTTGGTGGTTGTTTCTTGGACCCAAATTCAAAAAGCTGCAAGATGAGAGACCATCTTCATGGAAATGCAGGAGAACAAGATAATGGAAATGGAATGCTGGACCAAAAGACATTGTTATGGCCTTGTTCCAAAGTTGTACAAGAGAAAAAAATACCTATATTTTTAAAAAACGGTCAGTTTATGTATGCCAAATGACTTTACAAAAAAGTAAAGCCAGGAGAGTAGTGTATGGATCTGTAGTAAACTTTATCTTCCATATCTAAATTTTCCCTTAAGTTTAAAAAGCAAAAACAAAAATTGTACTCCAAAACAGGACTTTTAAACTACATAGCTGTCATGTTAACTTGTGATGGCTGTCTTTTTGTCCTCTGATTGATTTTAATGATATTTCTTAAATCTGCAGATGGGTACCTTGGAACGTTTTTGATTGAATAGAATGGTTGTATGGTTCAAAAATAAGCTATAGAGCAGAAAATCCTCCTGTATTTTTTAATGGTTTCACATTTATATTGCATAGCTTAGTTACACTTTGTGAGAGGAAACAATGAATAGGAAAGATTCTCTCAGATGTGTTCTTCCTGGCTCCTATAAGCTTTAAAGGTTTATAAAAGGCATATTTTTGTAATAGTGACAATTTAGTTTTTTCAAAATGTACACATTTTACTTCAAGGCACTTTGATTTGCAAATAGAAATGATTTCTTCAGTGTAGCATTAGTATCTGAAGGAATGACTCACTGGACTTCCGACAATAATCATACGTAATTGAGAGGCACAGTGGGATATTAAGCAGTCCTGAACAAAAAGGCTTCCCAAAGATTAGGGACAGGCATAAGGTCAGTGAATTCAGTTGGTATGTAGAAAAGACAACTGAATGATTTCTCTAGAACTGAAGATACTACTTGTGCATTTGTGTGCAGAACCCAGTGAGGACTAAGCAAATGAGATTCGGTGCCTTTTGAAAAGAAATTGTTAAAAGGATAATTGGGTGTCTGTGCTGCTGCATTTTAGACCATGCATGTTGTTCTGCCATAACTTAAGTAGCGAGCCTATGCATGTTTAGACAGGAAGAGGTCCAACTCCCAGCATTCTCTGGGACTCCTGCTGGGAGTTGCAGGACCTTTTTCTGACTGAACATGTATAGGAGTGCCCCTTCCTTCTGGTGCCATGGATTTCCTGTGGCTGGTTATTCTGGGAATAATCATTATTCAGAAGACATTTTCATCTTAGTGCCTTAATGATGTACAGTTTGATGCACAGCAAATGAAAAGGGGCACTAAATAGTATGTTGGATGTATTTTGTACATCTTTCATAATACTATTTAATATACCTTCTATTACTATTTACATAATACCTTCCAAAGGTATCACAGCCTAGTGTCATAGTTAGGATACTGGAATGAAATGCTGAATATTAATATCAAAGGTATTTTCTTAATTTTATTGGTTATGTTAGGAGGTTAGTTCTTTCTGAAATGGGATATTCTCGATTCCAAGAGAACATAGATAATTCACTTTGTACAGTTTTTCTTTCATAGCTCTTTTCAGAATGTAAATAAACATTAAGCCTTTTAGAAAAGGAAGCTAACACATACTTAAGCATGCTAACTTGTCCATAGAAATGCATAGGACTTGTTTCCAAAGAAATGGAGATAGACTCAAGGGGTTAAAAGAAGCTTTACACTACAAGCAGAGAGAGAACTCTTGTTAGCCTTATTCCTCCACATGAAGAATGAAGTTGCCCACGCCTCAGCAGTATCTAATCTAAGTCACCAAAAACTTAGGCACTGGTACTGGGATTTATTTCAGGGTATTACTGTTACCTGGTTTATGGACTTTGGTAATAGGCTGCAGCCTTGAAACATATTTTATTTGGAGCGGCTTAGAACAGTTTCTCCAAATAAAACTATACTTGGAACAATGCTAGAAGTCTATTACCTTGAAACAAGCTGCTCCAAAAATACTGTTTCAAAATCCCAGCCTACCATGAAATAGTGAAATAGCAAAACACTGATTGAATCCATGGCCCTAAACAAAATTGAATCTGAGTAATAGTGTTCCATTTACTGATTAATTAATTATAAATTTATCTGTGGGCACTTTTGGGTTATGATCTGTAGCTAGGCAGTAAGTTTTGAGATGTTGAAGGCATGATACACTATCTGTTGGCCATCCTTATCGCGTTTGGGGTTTGCAGATTTTTTCCTCTTGGCATATTCCTACATAGGGGTAGTATTTTATCTTCATTTTGGAATATATTTCAGATGAATAATCAGACCTGTTTACTTGAATGAAAATCCATAGCACTCTGTGAAACACTTCTCCTTTTTGTCCATTGTTTGCAATAGCCAAATTCTGTTTGCCTTAAATTAGATCTATCTTCATTGGCTGGTTAAGCACAAATATAATGTTAGTTTCAGTACTTCTTACATAAATTAGGTTATTTAATGGCTTTAGCATAGTTTTATTGTTGCTCCATTTATTTCTTGTTTTGTGATAACATAAATAGAAGACCAGTTTATCGAAAAAGAAAATTCCTTAATGGTCTCTACACAGCATTTGAGAGATGATACTTCTAGAAAAGTGTGTAAGGGCTGTAGAACATGCACAATAAATTATCTAGATAACCTTTTTATATTGTCGTATTACTGTTTATACAATGTGCCAAGATGAATAAAGGCTATGTATTTAAACAAATGTCTGGTACTGAAAAGTAAATTCTTTAAATGTGTAACCTACACTAAAACCCAGAATGAATAGCAATGCTGGACTAAGATTTGAAAAGGCAGCTGAACTGTAATGGCTGGGACCCAAAGAACTATTCAAGGTGGACTTTGGATTATGTTGTTCAAAGAATAGCATCTCTCCCCTTGAAAATCCGAGTTAATTATAAAATGCAATCAACTTTCAAAACAGCTCACAGCATACCATTCTGTTCTACAAGGTTAAAAAAAAGTCAAGAATCTTACTGTGCATGCCCAAACCCTCTGGAATCTAAATAGATCTTTTGCCTAACCTATAGATATTCCACCTGTGTTGATTAGTGTAATTATTTTTGTTGTTGTTACTAAAATATAGTCTCAGTATATACCATTGAGAGATGAATAAAATGATCCTTCCTCAATATTATGTTCCTAAGGGTTACAAACACATGTGCTTATACAGTGAATCCAAGGGCAAGTTAGCATTACCTTTTCAATTCATTGGAATTTGTACTCTTAACATTTCATTTACTGTCTTTGGGCATTGGTCACTGATATGGTTTGCAGAAGTATTTCTGGGGATTTAAAAACATTCTGAGGGCCACCACCTGCTACAGCAGGGATATGAATCTATGGGACTACAAGTTAAATAGTTCATGAACTGAAGCATCAGCATTTTCACGAATTGTAATTGCGTGTAATTGCTGCTCATTTTCAGGATAATGAGAAAGTGAAAATCTGATGCTTTTTAACTCTTATCAAATGGGAACAAAAGAGTGATAATTATTGAAAGCTATCTGCAGTGTGTGGAAAGGTAAATTAATTATGCCAACTGCTGTAGTTTTAGTGCAGGATAGAAATGCTTTAAATTGCTGAGAAAAAAAAATCAAATTTAAAGTCTGGTTGAATTTCACTGCAATTTTATTAAATGGGGTGTTCACTTAATAGAGATAAATGATAATATGCAATAGTCTTAGTATGTAATTGCTTCCCATTTTCAGGATAATGATACATTCCGGATAGCAGTTTTGAGCATTCAGGCCGTCAAGTAGAATTACCTCATGAAAACTGGAACATGTGATCTCATTTGTGTTCTAAGGTTCACAAGACAACATTTCTTGTAATAATCACCTTATGTTGAAGGAAAAATCTAAGGAAGAAGGAAGGATACTGAGCTGTGAGAAGAGTATTATTTGATAATGACTGTATGAGCTTCTTATCTTCTCAATCTTATCCAGCACTTTGCAATGCTGTCTTCATTGTCATTATTAAATTTACAAAGCCTTGCTACTGTTTCTGGGTTTGCTGTCGGCTATAAATATAATGGTTTTTGCCTGGATAACTCTATGAATTATATACTCTACTTGTATCTTCAGAGTTACATTGGAAATGACCAGATGTTATTTGTAATTAAAAAATCTTAGAAGAAACTTAAGTAGATTGAGGCAAATTATATACAAACAAGGTGTACATAGTTGTTGCAGAAAAGGTATTACAATATTGCTCAAATGGACCTCTGCAAATATTTGTGGGAAAGCTAAGAAGTCTATTAAAACAATGTAATTAATTACAATGACTGTAAAATAGAGATAATGTATATGCTGGATTACTTCTGAGTTTTGTTTTTTTCCTGTATGATTTGCTGTAAATTATTCAGTGTTATATTAAAATTGCTTTTACTTTTGCAGTGATGGTTAATAGTTTTGACGATGAAAACAAGTCTGTTGGTGCATAGACAATTAAAAATGGTAGGCTTATAAAATGCAACCCATATAATTATATAATTTCACTATTCTACCAAAAGTGTTTGGGTTTTCCTTTACACTGAGGCTTATAAAATGTTTTAAATCATGTTACTTGATAAATAACTTGATAAATCACAGTATAATTTTCTTGTTGGAAGTTCTGTTTATGGAAACAGAAGAACATACAGCAGGACCCCTGTATCTGCTGCTCCATTTACTACATTTTCACTTCATTGGGGTTGAGCTCTATGCAAAAGAGAAATCGTAAAGTGCCATAGAGAAGTCATTAAGTGCTTCTTTTAAGTGAAAGTTCTCAATAGGGAAATGAGAAAAATTGTATGCAGAAGTTGCTAGGTAAGAACACCATCCTAAAGAAAAAAAATATACAAAGAGTAAATAGTGTTTGCTATAATCCGTGGTTTCAGAGGTCTGCTGTGGGGCTAGGAACTTGTTCCTGTGGAGACAGGGGTCCTGCTGTTGGAAATTCCATTTTTTGTTTCAGTATGGTTCCAATTTTAATTTTCACTTGCATATTGATTGGTGTAGCTGGAAGGATTTGCCCCACTGAATAACTGCTTTAAAATAACCCTTGCTGCTATTGGATATATATCATAACCATAGCAATATCTTCTTTTGCTTTATGTTTGTAGATGACACTGTATCTTCTTGTGCCTCCCACCACCCTGGGATTTTAAATTTTATTTTACTTCAGTGCATGAGCTCCCAATGCAGATTATGTTGAGATATGTTAACTTTATGAGACTTAAGAGAGCAAGTCATCCCTCCACACCCCTGCCATGCACACATCTATTTTTCAAATGGTTTTCTGCGTGGTTCTTATGTTCTTAAATTCCTCAAATACATGGTTGCTAGACAGCAAACTGCAAAACCTAAATGAAAAAATGCAAAACCAAAGTGTAGGCTTCAGAGGCAGGAGGTGCCAGATTCAGTCCTTGGAGCCTGTCTAGCAGAGAGTACAGTAATGGGAAAGATGTCTGCTGGGTATGCTGTGGAGCGCAGCTGCTATTCAGAGCAGACAGTGCAGGCCAAATGGTCTAGCTTAGTATACAGTACTTAACATAAATGAAGAGCAACTGAGGTTCAAATCTTAGCTCCGAACAAAGACTTACTAAGATGATCTGGGCCAGTCACTGCTTAGCCTAATTTATTAACTGCATGGGGTTGCAGTGTATGTCTGTGTGCACATTTGTGTGCTTGAGAGCAAGAGATATGGCATCCTGAACCCTTTGGAGGGAGGTTGAACTTTATCGACTTCTATCAGACTTCACATGTTCATACATGGAAGAAATTGGGAATATGTGGTCCTCCAGGTGCTTAAATGCAACTTCCCATATCCCAGTGCAGTACAGTGCTTATCAAGGTGGGCTGAGACTCTAGAGATTGGGTTCTAATGCCCATTTAGCTGTGAATGGCTTTCAGGCTAACCTACCTCAAAGAGCCAGTGTGAGGATAAAGTAAAGTACCCGTGCTTGGGTTCTTTGTGGTAAAATGGCAATGGATAAATGAAACTAACGCCTGACAATTGGCCTTGCTGGCTAGGGATGATGGGAGTTCCAATCCAGCCACATCTGGAACCGCTCCCAACTCTGGCTATGCTGCCTGGGGCTGATGGGAGTTGCCATCCCACGACCACATCTGAACGGCCTGACTTGGGGTTTCGGGCAGAAGGAGTCTTTAATGGCGCCCCCCTTAGTGATGTCGTCCATCATTTTCGATGAGGACCTTGACATCTAACGGGTTGTGAGTTGTCCACGGTGCGTCCGCAGGTGGCCGATAAGGCCGATACGGGCACGGAGTGGTCCGCGCCCTTAGTGCAGGATCTGGGAAAGCACAAGGGGGAAAGGCGGCGCCCCAGCTCGCCAAGCGGCGCTTTCCCGCCGCGCCAGAGCTCTGTCGCTCGGGGCGCCTGGGCAGCCACTCCCGGCAGCGGCCAGCGAGCGGCGCTGCGCCCGGCGCGGCCGAAGGCGCGAGGCGGGGAAAGGCCGCGGCGGCGGCGGCGGCGGCGGCGGCTATGGCGGGGCAGCGAGGCGGTGAGCCGACGAATTGCATCGCCCGCCTCTCGGAATGGGCGGACGCGCACCTCACGCTTGTCCGGGTACGCGGCGGGGCTGGTGCGGCTCAGCGAGGCGGAGGAGGGAGCGAGGCGAGGCCGCGCGAGCGGGAGTCTGTCTCTCCGCCGCCGCCGCCGCACGGGCCCTTCGTGGCAGCCCTCCTCCGCCTGGGGGCTCCAGACGGTGTGGAGCACAAGCCCGAGCCAGCCTGGCCACTGGCCGGGCTGATGGGACTTGAAGTGCAGGGATGGGGAAGGCTGGGCTGAAGCATAAGGAGCGGTAGCAAGCACCCTGTCCGTGCAGCTCTAGTGCGCCTCTGCTCGGAAATGAGTCCCACTGAGCGTAATGGCCGCGGCCCTCGGCCACCTACTGGGAGGGGGCGATGGTGGGCTTCTTGGCGCTCGCTTCTGAGCCGCCTTGGGTTCTCTGGAGGACAATTGAAGGTATACAAATCTAATAATGATAAATAAATATTGCACTGTCGGTGTGCTTAATTTCTATAGCGGCTTCCCACCAGGAGTTCCCGAGCTCTTACGTGGCTGTAGATCGTCGTTAGGGATGGGTGCTCTGTATATGCTCAGGCGCGATCTCTTATAATGCCATGGCATAGCTTTGGTAGGAGAACAAGTGCCCTGATGTCATGCTAGGTCATGGTGGAGGAGCAGCCAGTTTCCAGTTAAGTAACATGGATTTCTGGTACAGAGTTATGTTCTTTCTGACCTACCTTACCTCTGTTTACATATAACATATGATTAAGTGATGAATAGAAGAAAGTGGATATGCTTGTCATTGACCAAAGGGTTTACATTAGTACAAATGTTCCTCCGTGATCCAAAGACATATTACAAAATACCTATGTGTAAATACCATTTTTCTATTAAAGCACTTTTTGCCACATAGGCTGGCTGTATGTTTGATCTGTGCAAAGAGCAGCTGGGGTGCCTGTGATTCACAACTTGGAAATGGGAGGGGAAGAATTTAACTTGCTTTCCTGCCAGATCTGCAACCCCAAGCAAAATCAGTATGTGCCCCTCCAACATGATTTCCTTTATCCTTTTAAATACCATGGGAGATCCAATCAAACAATTCATTTTTCAAAACTCTGCCAGTTAACTAGGATCCCATTTAAATGAATGGAATATTTTAACTGATTAATCAACTAAACTTTGCACTGCAGTCACACATCAACAGGAATTAAGGAGCCCCAAGAGAACTAGATCTTTATAATTGTAATATCATATGTGCTTACAGTATTTGGGGTCTCCTTTCTCACACAAGCCTCTGTAAGATTTATCACAGTGTATATTTCAGCTTTGTGAAAAGGTTTCCCATTTCAATGCTAAAAGAGAAAAGTTTGCAAATTCCCTCTAGTAATTAAAGCTGTTAGAGAAAGCTGTTTCAGTGCTGGGCTGGCCAGACTTCAGGCATGTAGGATATACATTCTCTTTTAATATTGGTTCACTGAGCACAGCCAGGTTCAAAATGTTGAGAAGTGAACTCATTTATACATTAATCCTATCAGTCATACACTGTATATCAGAACATTTCTCAACCTGGTGTCCCCCAAATGTTTTGAACTTTACCTTTTTTTATTGTTATTATGTATGTATGTATGTATGTATTTATGTATTCTTTGTGAGCCGCTCCAAGGCTTTGTTGCGATGGGTCGGCATAGAAATGTTTTAAATAAATAAATAAATAAATAAATAAAATACCTCCTATCAGCCCCAGCTAGTAGTCAGGAATGCTGGGAACTATTGTTCCAAAAGTCTGGAGGATACCAAGTTGGGGAAGGTTGTTGTATATATAATAGAATTCTAAATCTCAGCCCTGTAAATCAGGTAATTAATGCAGAAGTCATTGACAGAGCCCCACAAAGACCTGTGTGCTTTCAGGCAAAACTTTTATTATGCAGTCATACCACTTAATTTACATAATTTTACAGGAGGTCTGGAAAACATTGTTTTCAGTTTGCAGCCCTCTTATGTTTTCCTACTCCTTTTTCTCACTGGAAATAATTCTTAACATGCTTATACTAGAAGATAGGCAAAGCCTTGGGTCCAAATCTAGCCTTATGGATGTTCCCCGGAAGGGCACACTCTGTTTCCCCCAGCCAACCGATTCTTTGGTGATTTCCAGGCTTTTGTGAAGTTTGCCCCCCATGCTTCTCCTAAGGCTTAGTTACTGGCCATAAGAGCTTTAATATGCTATTATATTTCATTTTCTCTGTACCCAACTGGTGTGTGGCCACCAAAGCTTCTCTAGAAGGGAATATAACCCTTAGAGGTTCTGTATCCCTGCTATGACAATTTACTGTAAATCATACTGCAAAGCATTTCATCCCATTTCACCAATCCTTGTCCTTGTAGAAACAAAAGCAGTAATTATCTCAAAGTTTATGTGCAGGCCTGTGCATATTAAGTCAGAAGTAAGTCCCATTGGCCTTGTTGTGGCTGTTATGTGCTGTCAAGTCACCTCCAACTTATGGTGACCTATGCGTGACAGCCCTCCAAAGTGGCCTGTCCTTGAAGGCTCTGGTAAACGCAAGGCTATTGCTTTCTTTCTGGACTCGAACCATGTCATAGTGGGTCTTCCTCGTCCTCTTTCTTTGACTGGCCGTGGCATTTTTGTCTTCTCCAGTGCATCTTGACATCACATGATATGGCCAGAGCACAACAGCATCAGTGTCATCATTTTTGCTTCCAGGGGATGGTCCCAGTTGATGTGATATAAGACCCATTGGCCTGGTTCACACATAATGATCTAGAAGCTGGAATCTGGGGCCAAGTACAAACCCTACTGAATGTGAAACAAACCGTGGATATCATTTTGTCCTTTTCTTGTTCTAGTATGCATGCTAATTTCTGGCAAGCCATAAATTTCAGTATTCTGACTTATTCTTGTGAGTGGTTAGACATTATGTTTTATGGTGCATACTCCCTCCAAAAAAGGAATGATGATAATTACGATAATTACATTAAATTTATACCCCATTTTTTCCTTTTGCAAGGAACCCAAAACAGCTTACATGGTTCTCCTCTTAATTTTATCATAAGACTGACTGACTCAAAGATACCCAGTGCATTCTATGGGCTGAGTGGAGGCTCAAACTCAGACTTCCCAGATCCTCAGGCTGACAGTGTAACCAGTATCTCTAAAAATATTCAGTGGATCTCTAAAAAAACCAGACAGACAAACCCCCTGAGCCAGGCAGGTATTGAAACTACAATCTTCTGATCTGTAATCAGATGCTGTATCCATTGTGCCACTGGCTTGATGAAATACCAACATAATTGGTATTTCACAGTTGTGTAGCTTCTGTGGATCAAATTATATGACACATATTGTAGTGTATAATAATAAATAATAAAGTGTTGGCAATATGCTTTTAGTATATTACCAGTAGGGCCATATTGGACTTTGTGAGAATTAAAGTAAAGGCAGCAATATGCTGGAAGTTGTAAGCCCCCTTACTGCTGAAACATAAATAGCAGAATAAAGGGGCATAAATAAGCCCCTTAAACAACTTCATTAATAATTACACTCATACCCCACATTTTTTCCTCTTTCAAGGAACCCATGATAACAACCCTGTAAGGTAGGTTAGACTGAGAGTCCATAACTGGCCTAAAGTCACCCTGTAAGCTTCATGGCTGAGTGGGGACTAGAAATTGGATCTCCTGAGTCCTAGTCTAACATTCACAATGGGTAAATCACACTGGATCTCAACTTGAAAGGTGTTCCCAAACAATTAGCAGAAAGTTGTTTGCATTTTGTTAAATAATATTTTAAACAAGTTTTTTTAAAAAATCAGGTGAATATTTTAAGCTACATTTTAAAAGAGGCATTCACCCTTTTCTCTTATGTAGGAGAAATGCCTGTTCTAAGATAACACTTGCTATGAAATATATACATTAAATAAAAACAAATCAAGTATGCTTTGGGATTTGATAATAACACTGTATACAGATTTATGTAAATATAAGTTAAAAGTATAATCCTAAACATGGTTCGGCAGAGCTTTTTTTGAAGTATTTGCTGCCTAAAAATGCACTGCATTGCAGCTTAATTGATTAAAACTCATAGCCAATTGCAGTTTCTTTAATTGGGTTGTACTCCTAAATTAAAATGTTAAATATTTTTTTCAGTAAAAAATTTCATAGTTGTAATAGTAAACTAGATGACTTAGCAGGAGCTACTTTTATAACAGAGAGCATACTCTGAAGTGAGCAAAAGTTGAATTGTTTTGCCCATCCTGATTCATTCTACCTAGCAGAGATGTGAACAATGATGATAACAGTGGAAATATTGGTAGAAGGCAACTGTATGAACTGTTTGCCTGTAATTCATGTACGGGAGGAGGAAGCTGTCTGTACAAGGGGAGAACATTTGGAAGGCCCTCTCTTTCTGTTCAAACTCTGGATTAGGGTGAGCAGAGTATGAAATAATTAATTATGTTATCTCCTTCAGAATATCAGCACTGGATTGGCAATAGCTGGAGTGATTTTACTTGCAAGAAGTGTTAAACTGGTAAGTTCTGGACTCAGATTAATGATAAATATTTATGAAGCACCTACAGTAGTTAGATGCTGTGCATATAGCAAAATACAATAATGAGCAACTAATTGCTTGCGGTTGTATAATTTTTAATCGAGGCTTATACATGTGTGTGATACCCACCTGATCCTCAGAGCAGGCTAGAATTGGAAAGCATATACAAATCTGTCAGAAAATGGATCCTTCCTTAAATGTATAATATTATCTATCTAAAACCAAGTGAAAAAAACTACTTTCTCTTTCAAGCAATGTCAGACTTTGGTGAAAATTCACTGATAGGACTATAGAAGACCTAAGACTAGAGTCCTGTACTGTGTAGGGTGTTGTACATGATGGCTTTCTTGGCCTCTTCCAATTTTACTACTCCACGATCCTGTGAAAATAAAGATATGCACATCTTTGGGATTACCGTGGACGTTGACTGAGTACGCATGACAGCCAACCAGCGGTAGCAGACTGCAGGTGGTTGTCCTGTCATGTGAACCCAACATGGATTGCGCATGATGAGCCTTTTTTGCCAGAACCCATAATGAGAACCCATGGATTGTTCTTGGGTTTTACCCATGGTGGGTTGTTGTGGAGTCTGCAGTTGGACAACCTTACTTTGGGTAAAGTTCCACAGCCAGTGTCTCACTTGGCACGAAACACTTATAATATGTGATTGTTTAAAAAGTGTCAAAAAGCTGCAGTGAGGTCAAATCAGCTTTGCATTGTGGATGGGAGGGAGGACTTGTGCCTTCCGTGGTGTTTGCCAGGAAAGAAGGGGAGGGAGCAGAGCACCCACAGTGAGCCTGAACACATTGCGGCTACATTGTGGAACAACCAACTCACTGTGACAGAATCCCTCAGCAGGTTGGTGTTGCATAGAAACCAACCCATTGAGATCGGGGGGTGGGAGGGATCTCACTCGGAGTGTTTTATTTGGTGAAAGTATACTTTTGTTTACTATTTTATGTGAACTTTCACCTGCATAGATTTCTTCACAGATTATTCAGGAACTTTTCTTATGTTTGACACTCTTCAACAGTGTCTATACTGGGTCTTTCAACAGCTCATAGCAAATGAATTCCTTGTGCAATATGCTTTCCAATACTGTTGCTACACAATCTTTGCTCCCCAGCCCAGCAGAGAGATATCACATATGTTTATGTGATTGTTTAGATACGTGAGGAAATAATTTTGTATGTTTGATTACTAAGCGATCGATAAACAATCAGGTTGCATATCCCTTGGGATGACTGAAAAGTGGGATTGGGTTCACAGATCTCTGATCTGTGCTGGTGATAAAGCAGTGGAGGGTGTCGTGAAGGAGGGAGCGTAAGTAGTATGAGTAGAGTAATAGCACTATTAGTACTGTGGCCGGGAGCAACACAGCAGGCTGCTACTGTGAAACATAAGCCAACTAACCTAGGAAAGAGGTGGGAAAGGCATAGTGCTCCCTTCATCTTTGGACTCTTCTTGACTTTCGACACAATACCCTTCAGGTGTTTTGGCCTACAGCTCACAGTGTTCCTGACATGGGAAATGATCCAAAACCTATGGAAGTCACAAGACTGAGGAAGGCTGATCTATTTCCTCTCTTGCTGCTCTCTGTCATTAGAACGCTTTGTTTCTTGGCTTCTGTCTGGGTCCTTCTGCTGGTATATTTCCATGCTGGAAGAGAAGGTATTAAGTGGGCATTTCTGTGGGTAGGGAGGGCAGCAGACCAGTGCTGCCGTGAAATGAGCTATTCGCTTGGTGCCTCAGCCTCCTTCCCTCATGCTGTGAGTTGCAGCACTTAGCCAAAGCTGGTCATCTGAGTATTTTGCAAGTTGGGAGCAGTACAGAGGTAACCTTTGTCTCCATGCTTCTTTTAGAGGGTTGCAGACATCTGGACTGGACTGTGCTCTTAGATATGTATCCCATTGCATGTGAAGGGCTTCGGGTGGTTAACAATGCATAAACTGTGGATGTGGCTCATGGCTGCACAAGCTTCATAGAAGCAGATTAGAGAGTCTGCCACTGGCGAGTGTTTTTAAGTTGTGCTGTGTGTGTTAAGTTATTGCAGAAATCCTTTCTAATGTTATTCTTTCTGCACTGATTTTTGAATTTTTTTCTTGGCCCTTCTTTTCTTTTTATGAATAGACAACCAAATTCACAAATGCTTTGGAAATACCACCAGAATTTATAAAGAAGAATGTTAAGCTACGTGGACGATTACATCAAATAACTGAGCAAGGTTTACAAATTGAACATGTTCCCATTACACTTCCAATCATTTCATCTTTTCAGAGGAGATGTAAGTAAGATGAAAGGGATGATTAAGCTTATCGTGGCAAGCTTAAACATTGATTAACTACTTGCAAATTTGATATTTAATTACTCCCAATCTCCCTGGTAAGTTTGGGCAGGTATTCCTAGGGTTTTGCATATGGAAAACAAATATGTCAGAAATATTGCGGAGGCATTTTTGGTACCAATCCCATTTCAAAATAATATAGAGAAATCAACTGGAAAATGAGCTGCATAATTAGTTTTGCATTCCCAAGTGAGTTTGAGGCTTGTCTTTCTCAAAGAATACTGTCTCTCCTATACCACATTACAAACTGTTTCAGAATGAGGGGACTTTCAAACAGAGTAGAGTAGAATAGAATAAGAGTTGGAAGGGGCCTATAAGGCCATCGAGTCAGCCCCCTCTTTGCTTCTACATGTCATCCCATCTGGCTGCAGACCTGTGACTTTCCAGTATAGCAAAAGCGACTCAATATGCTAGCTTGATAACTATGCCCCTGTGATATGACTTGGGGTCTAACATTCACAGAAAAAATTGCAAAGATTTCAGCATATGCTTGAACCCTTTGACTGAAGTTAGTCCTTTAGTGATTCTAAGCTTTTGCAGCTGGTGGTGTCTCTGCATACCATATGCTTTTCCCCCTCGGTGTTGCTTGAGATAGACAGGATCAGAACCCTAATAGGAATGACACTTTCAGTTACATTTAGTGCTGTATCTCTTTCTAGATACCTCATCATAAGAATCTAACAAGAATGCTAAATCAGACCAAGGGTGTTTCTATTCCGCTCTGTTTACACTGTGACCAACACAATCAGCTTCTTGTAGGAAACCCACAAGGAGGACATGAGTGCAGTAGAACTCTTCCACTCATGTTTGCTTACTTATTTACAGTATTTATACTCTGCCCTTTAGCCAAACAGGACTCTGGGAGTGGCTTTTAAGATTAATAGTAGTTAAAGGATATACCTAAAACAAAAGGAAAAAAGATTGGAAGGGAGGAGTTAAAAAAGCAAAACTCAGGCTAAAAAGCTATCATGTTGCTATGTGTTTCTTTTTTAAAAGCTAAACTGAGACATCCTAGAAGCTCTTACAACAGTGTTGCAATGATGGAAAAAACTGTATCTCTTGAATGTTTTCCCACTTCAGGGGACAGAAGCCTTAGCATGAGTCATCATAGCAATAGGAGGAATAATAGATGAGGTTTGCTTCACACATTCCATTTTGAAGAAGTTTGCATTTTGTACCCACTAATATTGTAACTTTTGAAATGCATTTTTTTCCAAAGCCTCAAGCGCACTATGGAAATACATGCTATGAATCTAAGGTCAACTGTAGCGCCCTGTAGATTTTCATGTGCAAGGTTGAAAAAAAAGTCAGTGGGCTTCATCTGTTACACCTCTGTATGGTACACAGTTCAGGACTGTTACCTGCACTTGCTTCTTTTGGGGCATTTGTTTCATCCTGTTTGAAGGCTGACCTCTTTGGAGACAGAAAATTGAAATAAGCTAAATATGCATAAGCATAGTTAAGTTTGGTCTGATGGGGGATGTATGTACATTTCTGCTTCTCATATTCACACCCTTGATAATATAATATGTTTGATTTCTGAAGTAGTTCTTAGATCTTTTTGGTCATAGCAAATGTTAAGATTTTTAAAAATCTACATGTAATACGAAAATATTCACTGATGTTTTGTACTCATTCCATGTAGGCAATGGGTGCTTCCTGACAGCAACTACTACCAGTCAAAAGGTATTGTGCAGTTAATCTGTCTTTCCCTCCTTAAAGGAGAAAAAGGACAGAAGAAATAGGAAGATTGAGGAGAGTACCAAATGGCAGACAACATCTGGATTCCCTATAAAATTCTTTGAATGAGGGAGGATTGCTCAATAAAAGTCTTATTTGGAAGCACCCTAGAACTCCAGCCACTGTATTTCTGCTTAGATTTCTTACGTTAATAAGATGTCATTGACAATGTTGTAATGAAACCAAAATGCATTGTTTATGTGTACTTAGGGCATTCAGATGGGCTGTTGCTGATCAGGCTTGCTGGTGTGGCCCCAACCCCCAGTGGCATAGACTGGTTAAAAGAAGAGCTAAAGCCTGCGCAAATGGTATGGTTCCAGCTTCTGGGAAGGAAGAATTTGGAGCTTGATTGCCTAGTGGTAGTAAAAAAGGTAAACAAAGAGGTGGGGGAAATGGGTGTGCTTCCTCAGCATGTTTACTTGGAATTCGGTCCCACTGAGTTAACTGGGACATGCTCCCAAATGAGAGTGCATAGATTTGCAGCCTCCATTTCTGTTTAATTACTGGTGGTGTAAAATGACTGTATGAAATACCCAGCAATGTTTCTGTTGTTTTTTCTGAACAGGGTAGATTTTCTAGTGTCTGTTTAAATGAAGAAATATTAAGAAATGGGCTTGGCAGGACAGTTCCTATTGAAGGACTCACTCATGAATCCCAGATATTCTGGAAGCTTCACAGGAGGCTACTTCAGGCCGAACTGAAAGCGGTGAAGAAAAGCAAAGGAATCTGGAAAGAAGAAACATTCATTGAGAAGTTTAAAGAACGTATAAGCAATAATAAATATATGCAGAAGTTAAAACAAGTTGCAACTTGGCTAAAAAAATGACTTTGAAAGGAAGGAAGAGGGGAAAACCCAGCCCAAGGACTCACACCAGATGGACAAGAATAGAACACTGCATTTTCTTTCTGCCAGAATATTTCTTCTGTTGGTGGTTCCTGAGAAAAGGACAGAACATTAAAACATCCCAGAAAATATTGACTGGGGAGATAAGTGCATATGGCATATTGAAATATTGTTATAACTTGAATATAGGCTTTTTTTAATGAAGAGGATAATCTAGGCCACATAACTGTATCCAGCAGGAGGAGAAAACTTAAGGCACTGGGCAGAGGGAAAGGCAAAAGCGCTGGTAATACATTGCTCAGAGCAGCTGTGGGCTGCTGAGGTACAGGAACCAGTTCTGGGCAAATTGTGAAGCACCTGGTTTAGAGAGTTGAGCTGGAGAGGGTAGAGAATCTGCTCCCTAACACTGTAGGCAGAGCTTATACTCTGGGCATATAAGCATGCAGCAGCCAGAGTTCTTAGCCAGTGCTCAGTTTTGACTGGATCTTTCTGGGACAATGCAGTAACATACATATGCTGCCACCTGTTGCAGAATTGAGCTCAGATTGCTAAGCTTTCCTGGGTAATGTATAGTGTGCAGCACCAGTGTGGACATAACAGTCTTATCATAATATGCTGTTGTGTTCCTTGAGACTGGCTGGCTGAAATTCAAGGCTGCCACCAAATGAATGTGTTGTGTGAATTCATCTTACAGACATTGTGGGCTTTGTATTCTTTGTCCTAGAAATAGTACATTTTTGTCCAGTGAACCGTATACAAAACATGGAAATGTCAAAGCACCAGACCTGCCCTTCTCACTTCCTAGTCCCTGGGATTATATCACTGGAAGTGATGCCAACCCATGTGGGTATGATAAGTCATGCAAATCATTCATGCTTCCATAAATTGGCCTCTTTCGTTCTCCAGGGACTATGAGTTCAAGTGCAAATGGATCTACTTATGTTGTTTAGAGACTGCTTTCTAAGGTTGCGGTCGTGACAACACAACTTTACTCCAAAGTAAGTTCCACTGAATTCAGTGAAGCTGATGTCCAGCTTAATACGTAGGACTGGAGCCTAAGGACACTGACTTAAAAGCAGGACTTGCATGCAAGGCAGTATGCTGGACTGGGATGTAAGTTTTTTGCTGTGTGATCTTCATTGTGTGCGCCTGCCAAGAATAATTGACCTGATCATAAGACCTGAGCACATGACTGCATTTACTTTGGTGGAACATTATGTATTGCTGTTTGTTCTCAACCATATCTTTATATACTTGACTGCAATTTGGCAACCCAATGATATAATAATCTTGCCAACATATCTAGAAGGGTAGCAAGTGAGACAGAGAACATAATTCCTGCTATTCTGTTTTGTCTTTGCAAATCAATTTAATAGCAAAGGGATATGCTTCCAAAATAAGAGCTTATTTATTTATTAGTTTTCCAATCAATAGCTTGCACAGTAAAGGGGCATTTTTCTCTTGCAATCTACTAATGTCCTGTGAGACTTGATTATGTTGTTGTTCTAATGCGAACTGCAACTAATAGGTGTGTGCATAGAACCCCCATTGCTGCCTCTGTGCATGCACAAAGTATGTGATGGCAAACTGTGGATGAGCTCTCCTTTTGCATCTGCATCTCAGGAGTGTGGCTTAACTTTGTTGAGGGAATAAATTAGACGTTAGTGTCTCATGTTGTCTAATCCTGTAATTATTGCGTATAACTCCTAATAATTAGGCTTATATGCATGGGTGTATTGACAGAATAGTGCAGAAGAGGGTGAAACATTGAGCTAGATTCCTTGTTGTAACAGGCAAGAGGGGCCTGGGTAAGGAGAGTTGTTAATGGCACAGAACATTTGCAGTGCCCTCTTTGCTAACTCCTGGCTCTGCCAAAATGCCTGTTTAGTTAAAAAAAAAAAAAGACAAAAGGAAGGCTCATAAACAGGCAGCTGCTCCTCCCCCATCCAAGCCTCTCACCAAGGACAGAGCTGAGCTTCTTGTGCAGTTACAAAGGAGATTGCTACCTGGTTAATATGGAAGAAGGTATGCACAGAGTGTAACAGTCTCACTCCTCTGCTGTGTCACTCTGGACCCAGATGCAGAATCGGTCCATTATTTGAGGCTGGGCTTCCTAATCCAGCAAGAGGAAATTTTTCCATGGGAGGATTTTTCCCTTCTGATGTTGTAAATGGCTGCTCCTGGGGCAGTGGGAGGCAGGCAGGATGAACCCCCATACCCACTCCTAGAGCGAGTGCATGCGGTGCTTCTTACCAAACAATGATCACAGATCAACAGTGGGGAAAGTGGGAGGCGGGGAAGAGAAGGAGCCAGGCTTCCCTTTGCTTCTCTGCCTGTTCCCAGATGGCAATTGGAATCAATGGTGCCATTTGAGATCACACATTGCATTCCTGGACCAAAGCCAAGGTTTATGGTGTATGTTATTTATGTCAGAAATAATGCCATTCTCTTTTCTGTTTTTTCTTCCTCACAGTAAAGTAAGATTATGCTTTATAATTGTACTGACTCATGCAATTTATTCCAGGCAGATGTTGTATCTTAAACATTTGCTACTCTTAGTATTGTATCCGTAGGAGTTTGTTTCTGTTTGTGTTTGTGTTTTGTACACACTCCGAGAGAAAGACAGAAAGAGCTTGGAATCACATGTTACATACACTGTCCTCCTTGTATACCAGTGAGAATAGAAAACAACCTGAAGAGAGATTTGATTTGCATATTAGGGAGGGAACAGTCAAAGGGGAATTTTAATTAATCTCAACTGCTTTCACATTCAATATCTTGCCTCTGTTTAGGAGGAGCAGAAAATCTGCGTCCATTAAATTTGCTAGTGCCACTTCCGTCATTAGGCTGCAGTCCCAGGGGCTCAAAGATCCATCCATCATCAGAAGCAGCTGAAGTAGTGTGTGCTCTGCCAGGGCCTCCCACCCTATTGCTTGCTGAGCAGTGCCTGAAGAAAGGCCTGGCCTGGTCCTCTCCTGGGCTGCTTCTTGTGCCGATCATGCAATCAGTTTGCACCACCAGGTTAAATTCTATGCTCTGCAAGCACCTTCAGACCTGGTTTTGTGAGCCTGTGGCCCTTCCAAATCCAGGTTTGCTAGGTTCCATATCCCAGGCTTCCCACTCCAGTCACTAACAAGACTTTCCCCAGGTCAGTAGCTGTGGCAGCTGCCTTCATAGACTTCTGTTCAGCTGCCCCTAATGCACCATGACACATGGGCTGCTGCTTCTTGAAGACCTTTCCCTCCCCCACCCCGATCATCTATATTATTTTATTTGCTTGCTTGCTTCAAACATTTGTATGCTGCCCTGTGCCCAAGAGATTCCAGGACAGAGGAAGAACAAATTCAAATAATGCATTATTTATGCCATACCACATTAAAATGTACAGTAAAGCTATGACATTAAAAAATAATAATATGGGGCAGCAGCTAAAATACACAATAGTATTTTAGTAGCAGGCAAAGGCATTATGTATCTTAAGGTCAGGGAAAAAACACTGCCAAAAGTATTGTGATCTAGGCATGAGGTGTACCTTTTTAAGGGGTACTGTTCCCACCAGAGAAACAGAACTCCCCAAATCCTCCCCTTTGTTCTTCAGACAAGGAAGACACCTGGGAAAAGATCTGTAGGAACTCTTTTGTGCTGTTCCTGAGCCTCACAATATATGGGAATTGTGTGTGTGTGTATGATGAGGGTCTTACATTTGTAGAACCCAGTTCTTGGTGGCTGTAATAGCACAGGGCACCATCACCCCAGGAAAATGCTCCTCTAAGCCCTGTTTCCAAGCCATTTTGCAACTGGTGCTCTTTTTCCTAAGTCGGAGTGCCTAGTGCTGAGCTGTTCTGAACTTCCCGAATAGCTTCAGTTCTTTTTGAAATGAAATAAGTAATAGCCAAGGCTTTTGAAGTAATTTTGACATCCAGGATCAAAAATCACAATCTCAGGAAGTAAAAATACAACAATAATACATTTTTGTACTATGCAAGATTAGCTGCCTGAAGCCGCCATTTGACTCTGCATAATGGCTGGACTGGCCATGCTTGTAGGCTCAGTCACAGGTAGCCTTGTATGCAAGAAATTGTTCTTCTTAAATTCAATTTACATCCTGCTTTTTTCTTAAAATGAACTCAAAGTGCCTTACATAATTTTCCTGTGCTCATTCTTATCACCACAACAAGAGTCTTCTGAGATAGACTGGGCTGAGAGTCTGTGACTGACTCAGTCACCCAGTTGACTTCATGGTTGAATGGGGACTAGAAGCCAGATCTGAGCCCTAGTTCTTAACCACTACACCACACTATTCTGTGCCATAAAGCAATCTTCCCCTTTCTGGTACCTTCCAGATGTCTGGATCAATTCCCAGTTTTTCTGACAATTGACCATGTCAGCTGGGCCTGCAATGGAAGTCCAGAATATCTGGAGAGTGCCAAGTTGGGGTAATGCTGACATAAAGCATTCTTTTCCAGAGATAACAGATGGTCCTAACCCAGTGATGGCGAACCTTTTAGAGACCAAGTGCCCAAATTGCAACCCAAGCCCACTTATTTATCACAAAGTGCCGACACTACAATGAAAACTGAAAACTGAAAAAACAACTCAGCCAGTCCAAGCAAATATCTCTCCCTCTCCCTCTCTCTCTCTCTCCTTGGCAGCACATTGACTGGCCATGCAAAAGCTCAGAGTCACGGCTAATGAGTCGCAGCTTGTGACGTTGTTGCCTGGTGCCGCTACTCCTTTCCAAGCATGCGCATGGCCCCTGTGTGTGCTGTTATCCGATAATCGACTGCTGGGGCGATGCTGGGGCAACATGGATCACGTGCCAACAGAGAGGGCTCTGTGTAAGAGACTCTTATGCCCTGAGTAGAATAACTGGGACTCTTTGTACTGATGCTGTGTGGCAACACACTTGAAAATAGATCCTAAATCTTCAATGATCAATTCCTTCAGAATGATCTGCTCTCTACATGCCTGGAATGGGAACTTGGGGAGTAGAATATTAGAAATGAAAGAACATTCAGATTGGTGTCCAGTCAAGCAGCCACCATTTGATATTTAATAGTATTTATATTTGAGCTACCATTCCAAAAAGAAAAGATGAAAAGTGAATGGCCTCTTACTGATGGCTTAAGATACCATGTGCATCATTTTGTAGCTCTCAGAAGCAAACCCTTGGAAAGTTTTATGTTGGTCAAAATTAAGAAAAACATAAACCATAAAGGGCAAAAATTAGTTTCTCTGCTCTCTGCTTGGCAGCTTACAGCTACCCTCTATGTGGGGACCATCTTATTTTAGTCCTACTTAATGTAGGCACAATGAAATGAATGGGATTTAAGTTAGAGTAACATTGGGTAGAACCCTCTGAAGTCAACTCAAAAGCAGAAACATACAACAGTGTAACAGGAAGCTGAGGGGACTGAGATGGAGAGCAGTGAACTGCCCAGAACATAACTAACATTTCTGAATCATAACATACAAGCTTCTGTGAATAGCTCTTAATATATTGCATTCTTGCAGTAAATGCACTCATGTTTAAAGGGGTGAGACAGCAAAGAGCCATGAAGCCTTGGCAACTGCTGATAAGGTCTAAGAATGCTATTTTACTAATAAATTCCTTCATGGTCTCTGTGTGTAGGAATACCTCCAAATTGCTAGCTTAGAATTTTTGACCACTTACCACCCTATACAGCTGCAGTCTGCCTCCAGCATGATAATTGTCCTGCCAGTATCATAACACACACCAGTTGCTAGCATTGCTTGACTCCATAATTTTATGTTCATTGTATGTAGAAGATAGAATAAAGTGTCTATCGAGATTCTTGTCTTTCAGAAAACCGAATTTCTAGTTCACGTAAAAGTGTCAGTGGAGGATTTAGAAATTCATGGGGCATGTGGAAGGGGTAGTGGGTATGAGCTGCAGTCTGATTAGAGAAAAAAGGCAACACCAAAAGGGTTGGAAGTAAAATTAAAAGGAAGGTAATGATGCTAAATGAATGTTATTTTCTGATGTAATGTGCCTGATCATGTTGATGTGTATTCTTTTAAGAGGCAAGGTTATTCTGCTTGCTAGGATGGTTCAACTTTGAACATGTTATTTCCAAAAAAAATTGCTGTCTGCCTCACATTTCTCATCTGTGACATGCTGGGACCAGGGGATTTTAGGAGCAGAAAGTTATGCTTTAAATGGAGGACTGGATTATATGATCAATATGGTTATTGTTTTTCAGGATCCACAGTTCTGTGAAGAGTCGGAAAAACCTGTCACTTTATTCACCAACCATTGCACAATTATTTTAAATTCAGTTTCATGTTCCACAGTTTTAAAATACAATGTATATAAGAGGAATGAAGTGGAATTCTGACCTTATGGTTAGCTTATTAACTTAAAATATCTTCCTCAGTTTAACCTCCCCTTAAAAAATGGTACTTCCCTCTTTTGGGCTTCCAAAGGAAATGCCCACGTTTCATTCAGAGAGAGCACTTACTAATGTTCCTAAAGGTCCAGAAATAGTTGGTCAAGTTACTTCTGTGGGACAGAGGAAATCCTTGTGTGCAGGTACAGGACTTTGCAAATCTCTTGCTCTTTTACTAAGATACTAATGCTATAAAATTCCAGGGGGGAACTGCTTTCCTTGTCTCTCTTGCTGGCATTTATGAGGGGTGCAACTCACGGACCGTGTCACATCCAATTACCTTTGGATAAAGTTTCTTCATCTGGGGCCTGCGATGCTTCGCTATAAAATTGCAGTCACTTTGGTTGAATGGAATGACATCAATGGGTTGTTTCTATGGTTTCAGCCAGTCCATTGCTGGACAGTGATGAAAAGGTGAAACTTAAGCTGGCTGTTCCTAGAGGTCACAGTTCTGCTCCACCCCCCTTCTCCTTCTCGTCCTCAGAGCTGTCTCGCAAGCTGATGAATCAGACTGACAATAATTCCCTTTTGAAGCCTCTACAGGAAAGAAAAGAGCAATACTTTTAAAACTTTTTTGGACTCTTCAAAGTTCGCTTGCACATAAACAGATGAGCCATTGTAGCACATGGGTAAAAAGCTGGTTGTGTACCTTACTGCAGCTGTGAACTCACTACAGCCGCTGCTACAACAGGGTGTGAATTTTAATAAACTCAGCAGCACTTGTTTCCAGTATACCTATTTAGGCTTGCTGCCCTTGCGGTATTAGGGAAACTGCCATTTTCTTGCAACTGGCTTCCTACATCCTTACACCTGCTAAATGGGAATAATTCTTTACTTAATTTACAGCATTGTAGTAAGGCTTAATGAGATGATCCATGGGGAAGTATTATGAGTGCTTAAAATACCCCATATAAATATGCCAGGTAACAGCAACAATGCAATAGCGATGATGATGATAAGGATGATAATTTCTTAATGTGTCATAACATGCAAAGTAGATTGTTGATACAATTGTGTCCTGCAGTGCAGAGACTAGAAAGTCTAAATAGTTCTCTTTAAGCTACAATTTGGTTTTGAGAGGTTCCA